TAAGTTATTTTTATTTTGAGTGCACTACACGACAGGTTAATACAAGGGAGTATAGCTGTACTGACCGACCAAGTAAAGTTACTGCGGAATTACACAAACTGATTGCGCTGCCGTCGTGTTGCAGTACGTTTCACAACTACACTGAAGTACCAATGGCGTACTATATTGTTTTCGTTGAGTAGATGTCACAAAAACTAGGTACAGCGTAGGTAGTTTTTAATGTTAGGTAAAGTATTATTACGCGATTTGCTATTATAATTACACCGTGAAATCTATTTTTGTTTTTGTCCCGAAGTACGATGATTCTGTCTCGGTAATACAATAGTTTTACAAGGAAATAAAATGTTTAAAACAAAAAATTACTGGTGAACTGTTGCAAAAAGCGCTTATGAAATTATAGTACATAGATACATTATCAAAACATCGCGCGATGTAATTTTTTTTTAATTTTCGAGAAGTATTTCTCGTCGGGCGGCACGTGCGATGCGTATACTGCCTACAAATTTACGTCTAGTGTTTCATGTGCGTATTTCCATGATTTTATTTAACAAAAAATTACAACTTTATATTTTAGTTTTACTTTATTCACCGAAAGTTATTTATTGTTTTAAATATTTTAATTGTTTGTAAATCTATACAAATGTCATAGTAATCAATTTCAAAATCTTCAGGCTAACAATTAATGACGATTTACACCCTATAGAGTACCTAATAAAGTTTGTTTGAAATTGTATAGAATTTTAAACCTAAGACCTAGATTTTGTAGTAAGTCATAACTACCTAACTATGAGGTTTTTAAATCTTTGCCAAATAAGTGTGTAATAGCGACTGTGGGAGAGCCATGCTTCGGCACGAATGGGTCGGCTCGACCGGAGTGATACCACGGCCGAGCAGAAAACACACGTGAAACAACACTTGCGTTGTATTTCGTAGTGCGAGTGATGTTACCGGAGGCTCAATTAACCCTCTCCCCGACCTCCAATAAGCCTCAAATTCCTAATCCCCGAAAGGCCTATGACGCAACTTTTATTTTTAACGGCACAAGCCCGCCACAACCTCCCAAAACCGTTGCAACTCCTGTAAGCCAGGATCTACAGTAGATACAACCATGCAAACTCCGGAACACTGAAGTCCAACGTCCCAGGGACATGAGTAACTGTCTTGGTTCCCGCAACGAAGTGAATTAGAAGATATTATAAGAGGAGGAGAAAAAAAATGACGCAAACTTGTACCACCTCTGATGTTTGCAGTGACCATAGGCGACGTCGATTGCTTATCATCAGGTGATCCGTCAGCTCGTTTACCGGGTTATGCCATAAAAAAGATAGATACATTTGCCTCGTCCATCGAGTGGTGTTAGTTATTTAGGTAGGTATTTAATTCCCTACAAATCTCAGTTATAGGATAGTTAGAGTCTGGATTCGTACCCAGTTTTTTATAACGATAGGCTCAACTTTTAGTAAATTACTTGGGCTTTGGTTTCATATTTTAATGTCGGAGAGCTATGCTTCTGCACTGCTGTGTCGGCTCGACTGGAGTGATACCACGGCCTCACAGTTATTAGATTTTTAATTTTCATACCCTGTCATCATCCCAATTGTATAATTAATGATGAATAGGTACCTACTTACATAATTCATTACATACTTTTTCATTTTACTTTTCAAAATGATTATCAAACAATTAAAATATAACATAACATCACGCCTTTTATCCCCTAAGAGGTACACATTACGGCACTTTTGCCACTGTACTTACAATTTTATTTACAACACCCACTTTTCATTATTTATGTTATAAGTCCCATGTAATAGGGGGTAAGCCTATTGCCATATACCGGACACAATTCCAGATTCCGTGCTACTACTAATATTTTTTATGAAAAAGTACTTTGCTCGACTCGGGAATCGAACCCGAGACCCCTTATTTGGCTCGTAATGAGGCAGTCGATTACAATATATTTGAAAACATTCAATAATCCATTTAAAATTAATTAAAATGATCAATTAATTGCATAATACATTACATTAAATGACTCCCGCTCTGGGTTAAGCGAGAGGGAGTGTCAGACTCTTACTGACTAAACACCACCCCGTTCCTATTGCTGCAAAGCAAAAAGCCCGAGCCACGGTAACCCGTTAGGTCATCCACAGCCCCGAAGGTATATTGAGTACCTAAGAAGACATCATTACGCCTCGAAAACAGTCGTAAGATGGGCAGAAGTGTAACCTTGACACAAAAATACAACCTGCCTGTCATATACCATTTGCAATAGTTAAATATTTGACACTCATTAGACAGTTATTTTAACTGAACAGTGGTTGCATAATGGCACCGGTTACGTAATTAACGGTGATGCTTATAGCCAAGTGGTTACCATCACGACTGTTAATGCTTTAGTCAAGTAAAGTTTTATTGCGTGTTTCTCACTTCATATCATTATACAGGTGACGGTGGAATAGAATATGTGAATCACCAGCCCTACTCTTCACGTGGGTGTATGATACCCAACTAAAAAATTACACATTCGACAAAGATCTGCGCTCTCTGATTAACCCGGAACAACATAGGAGTTACAAATCTATTGCAAGCGTTAATGGATTTGAGTTTTTTTAGGCCCACCTAGGTGAGAGAGGGAGTGTCAGACTCTTACTGACTAAAAACCACCCCGATCCTACTCCTGCCCTTCGAGCAGGAGCCCCGGAAACAATTTTTTACGTTCTCCGCGGCTCCGTATCGACATCAGCTCTACTGGGCCCCATCCGTGTTGGTCTGAGTGCTCTTTGAGGCGGAACACTCGGCGCTGTACGCTCTGGTCTGGTTCTGGTCGGGAGGCGAGCTACCCATGCTCGCCGTTAGCATTCCCGAAGGATTCGGGATAGAGAGAGGTTTGGGTCTCCGGTACCCTAGCAAATATCTTCACTTTTAAATTTATATTGTTGACGTTCAAAAGTGCCTTCCTGGTGTAATTGAAATAAATGATTTTAATTTTTTACCTCACTTACATCTAGAGCTCACATGTTCCACACACTCTCATGTTTCACATTTAGAGCCGTAATATTTATTTAAGTTTTATACAATTGAATAAGCTACTTAATGCTAACAGGATTCTCTGCCAGTCCTTTGGGCAGTGCAGAAATATATGTGGTAGGTGGTAAGCTGCAAAAAGGGTACACTAAGCTAGTGGCTATTCTTTTCATTTCATCTTTTAATATTTTGATTCACTTCGTTGCGGGAACCAAGACAGTTGTTCATGTCCCTGGGACGTTGGACTTCAGTGTTCCGGTGTTTGCATGGTTATATCTACTGTAGATCCTGGTGTATAGGAGTTGTAGCTGTTTTGCGAGGCTATGGTGGGTTTGTCCCATAACAAAAATATTTATAAAGGTGCCTAGAGCGTTAGATTACAAAGACGCATGCCCCACTGCCCATACAGTGGCGACGGCGCCCGAAGAATTGGAATGATGACAGGGTATGAAAATTAAAAACATAGTTAGTCCGTAAGTTAGGTAATGCAAAATATTAGACACGTATTTCTTTATTTTGTCGTATAATAAAACAATACTTAGATAAAACGAATCAAAGTTTAGGAGTGGGGGCTAAAACGTAATTTCTACGTATAAAATGTATATAGAAGTGACGTCACGCGACATTTCAAATCATTATAATATCGTAGAAAGTATTCGTTTCTGTAAGAAAATATAAAATACGTGCTAATGATTTAAAATAATCTACCAGACGGACATTAAAATAATAATTAAGCATCTACCCTATTAGGGGTGCTTATGAGGAGCTTGCCTGGGGTGCTTTCTAGCTTAAATCTGCTTCTGTAGCCCGTAAGGGAGATTACACCTCCACTGCCCTCACTCACACGGCTGCACATAACGCTGTGGTAGTATCACGCCGGTGTACTGTGAGGCCGTGGTATCACGCCGGTCGAGCTGACACACCAGTGCCGAAGAATGGCTCTCCCATATTATAATAAAACAACAATGTATATCTATATACAAATGAATCATTTATTTATTAATAATAATAATAATACATAACATAACATAACATCACGCCTTTTATCCCCGAAGGGGTAGGCAGAGGTGCACATAGAAGTAACACCCACTTTTCACTATTTATGTTATAAGTCCCATGTAATAGGGGGTGAGCCTATTGCCATATACCGGGCACATTTCCAGACTCCGTGCTACTACTGAGATTTTTAAAAAACCCAGTAATACTTTGCCCGACCCGGGAATCGAACCCGAGACCCCTTGCCCGGCAGTCGCACTTGCGACAACTCGGCCAACGAGGCAGTAATAATACACTGATAACATTATATATTATGTGAGATCTTAGCTTTTTATCAAGCGGTATTATTCAGCTTACCCCGTTTGTTTATTTATGTCTTAGTAATTGGAATTTCACCCCCTTCCTGACGACAGATCGATCTGATATTCGGTACACACTCTTAATCTTGATGACCATACAATATAATCTAATTGTTTCCACAACTACCTCCATTATGGATATCAAACGAAAGGGCTTGATTGGTAAAATATAGCTCATTAAAACCGTTTAACATAAAAATATTACATACAGATATATAGAGCTATAATCGTATGACAATTTTAAATAATGACCTAAATATTTATCGCATATGTCTTTACATGCATAACCATACATTATTTCAGCTCCTAAGTGCCATAGCGTGATGTTATATTCCTATAACCTTCCTCAAGAATAGTACTATCAGATACAAAAAGAATGATTCTAATCAGACTAGTATTACTGGAGATATACACGCTTAAACAAACAAACAAGCAAACAGACAAATTATGCTTTTACAGATAATCTAACCTTCTTAGGTATCGTCATGAGCTAATGTTCCCATGTAAACAGCAGCTCATGTAGTGTAGATGTCCAGTCAACAAGGATGTAGCGAGGTTGACTGTCCAGGCGACACACGTACTTAGGTTACCTACATCCAGGTTATATTTGAAACCTATTTATTCCGTACTCCATACAAATGGTTCTAAACGTTTATCTTCGGGGAGGAGAGCATTAATTTCTTCTATGTCTTGAAGAGTCTGAAAGAAATAAAAATATATTAATATGTATGGTTAGCCAAGTAATTTAGTATGCAGGTAAGAAAATAAAAATTGGTTCATTTTTCAATTGAGGGTAAATATTTCTTTTGCATTATATCCACCCAAAGATTGTCTGGTAGAAATCACTATAAGTGATCCTTTGTGCCTATTATTATTTTTTATTTATGTTTTTATATCCTTTACTGTATGTACATACTATATTTTTTACTGTACTGTACTGATCATCATCAACAGCCTATAACAACAGCCTATACCGTGGTGGCCCGGAGGTTTAAGACGCCCGCTTCTTATCCATGAGAGTGCGGGTCCGAAACCTACCAACGGCAAGTACCAATGTGACATTTTTCCGAGTTATATGTACTTTCTAAGATTATTTAGACACCACTGACAAACGGTGAAGGAAAACATCGTGAGGAAACCTGGGCTTATAATTTCTAATTATAAGTTTGTAATCGCCAACCCGCATTGAACAAGCGTGGTGATTAATACTCAAATCTTCTTCGTGTGAGAAGAGGCTTTGCTCAGCAGTGGGCATTTATAAGCTGTTGATGATGTACAATATTATTATTGGTGTACAATAAAGTTGATTATATTCTATTGATTCAGAACAGATACAGTAACCATTGTTAAACTATTGCTACGGCTCGGCACCTATTACCTAACGGGTTACCGGGGCTCCAGCTCGAAGTGCAGGAGTAGGAACGGGGTGGTGTTTAGTCAGTAAGAGTCTGACACTCTCTCTCGCCTCACCCAGGCCGCAGTATTGGGCAAATTGAAATCTAATTACTGATTACTAACTACGACTACTGAATGCAGTTAGTAATCATGATTAGAGATTACATTAAATAATCGTTAAAAGTAGTTAAACATGAGTACTTGCCAACTAGTAAAATTCAATACTTTTTTCGAACTGTCAAAAACGACAGTTTTCTATGAATTTTGTACGAGATTGTGTATTGTGACGTCACTTTTGTTTAGCGTCAAACAGCATACTTATTTCTTAAAAAATTACTGGAAAAATACTGAAATTAAGTTGGTCATAAAATCAATTAATGAAAGTGTAATTGTTTTTAATGTGTTATATTGAACAGTCGAAATAATTTATTTTTGATTGAGGAAAGTACCCAATGGGGATGATGACAGGGTATGAAAATTAAAAATATAATTAGTCCGTAAGTTAGGTAATGAAAAAATATTAGACACGTATTTTTTTATTTTGTCGTATAATAAAACAATACTTAGATAAAACGAATCAAAGTTTAGGAGTGGGGGCTAAAACGTCATTTCTTAGTATAAAATGTACTGAGAAGTGACGTCACGCGACATTTCAAATCAATATATCTTCGAAACTATTCGTTTCTGTGAGAAAATAAAAAATACGTGTCTAATGTTTTTAAATAATCTATCAGACGGACATTAAAATAAAAATTAGTCGTCTACCCTATTGTAGTTATAATCACGATTACGAGATTATTTTTCATAACTACACATTTAAAATAGTATTGGGTTTCATAAAAAGCTAAAGCCCGTCACAGATGTAGCTAAAATATTATATTTTTACGTGAACTTAAGGCTAATTTGAATAATTAGCCCAATGGGTAGATGCCTAATTTTTATGTCAATGTCCGTCTGGTAGATTATTTTAAATCATTAGACACGTATTTTTTATTTTCTTACAGAAACGAATACTTTCAACGATATAACATACATACAACATAACATCACGCCTTTTTATCCCCGAAGGGGTAGGCAGAGGTGCACATTTCGGCACTTAATGCCACTGTACAATGTAACACCCACTTTATATTAAAACGAGACATACTAAATTAATTATTATGTTTTCGGCTTACCTACGTAACTGTTTGACTCAGAAGTCGAGTAGTTCCAACCCACGCTAGAGACTCATATCCATGAGTAGTATGTCGCGACACGACGCGGACACTGGGTACTGGGGGGGGGGGGCGCCCTCTGTCGGGGCCCCGCGCACACTGTGTGTGTATCGACTGCGGCGCGATACTGCAGGGCCTTTAGCCACACGCCACTCTAGCGCTTGTCTACAGAGAGAGTTGAAATCTAAATGTACGGGGAGGACACTGACAAGTGTCAAAATTTACGTCAATCCCATATAATTTGGTTTTCTAGTCTACATGTAGACAAGCGCTAGATGGCATTTGGCTACAGTTGCTGACGCGGTACATTCGCCCGTTGGCAGCTGCGTCGTTGCTGGGTTCGAACCCCGGGTCGACGCAACAACAGTACATACCGCGCTCACTGTGTCACACCCCAGACCCGCAACACTGTAGTCTGACGTAGATCTCAGACTCGGCTTCCAGGCAGGTGGTAGTGCCCAGCCACCGTCTGTGTTAAAGTTTGAACGACGGCTTATTTCGATGGCCTCGTATATTTTACGCTATACAAAGTATTTCCCTCGCTAGTACGGATACCTTGTCAATACGGAAGAAGTAAGTTGTGTCCTACCACAACCATGATCGGCTACTGAGTCAATCTACAATGTTGCGGGTCTGAAGTGTGACACAGTGAGCACGGTATGTAATACTGGTTTTGCGTTGACCCGGGACTCGAAGCCAGCATCTCCGCAACCACCGTCCGACAAGTGTAGCATGCAGCCGGTGTCGCGGCGCCACACGGAGCCGCGCCACAGGGCGCCCCCCCCCCCCCCCCCCCCCCCCCGCGCCACACTGCAGCACACAGTCGCAGGCCAAGGAATGCTGCTCATGGATATGAGACTCTAGCATGACTTGAAACTGGTGGAATTCTGAATCAAACAATTACGTGAGTCAACCGATAATATAATAATTAATTTAGTATATCTCATAAAACTTTTAATATAAACACTCAATTATATCTTCCACATCATAATCATTACAATTAATCTAGCTTACTTTATTAATAAAAAATAAATTAAGTTATTAAGGTACCTTAATCAAAAATTATTTCAACTATTCAATACAATCTATACATAATATAATAAAATCGTAGGAAAGTGAAACATTTTTTCAAAAGAATACGTACTTTTTTTAAGGGGGGAAAATCATTGAATGACTGCTCCAGGGAGTGTCAGACTCTTACTGACTAAAAACCACCCCGTTCCTTCTCCTGCACGTCGAACCGGAGCCGCGGTTACCCGTCAGGTTCTCCGCGACATGAATAGGTACTTCGGGTGTGATCTACAAGCTATACCGAAGCTAAAAATATGATTTTTAGATTTTTTGTCTGTTTCAAACATACATACAGACTAAATTTAAAAAAACTTAAACAGTACTTCATGAATTTACTTCAACTTTTCCATGAATATTACTAACAGGTCGGGTCAACATATAGATTACATATTATCACGCTATCAACTATGAGGGAGGAGCTGTGAATAACTATTCTACGGCGACAAAGTCGTGGACACAGCTAGTAATTATATAAAAAATATATAATATTAAAAAATATTCACACTTTCATTAATTTATTCTATGACCAACTTAATTTTAGTATTTTTCCGGCAAATTTTTAAGAAATAAGTATGCTGTTTGACGCTAAAAAACGTGACGTCACAATATACCATATATGCTGCTCATGAATATGAAACATAACATAACATCACGCCTTATATCCTCGAAGGGGTTGGCGGTGCACATTATGCCACTGTACAATGTAACACCCACTTTTCACTATATAAGTTATGAGCCCCATGTAATAGGGGGTGAGCCTATTGCCATATACCGGGCACAATTCCAGACTCCGTGCTACTACTGAGATTTTTTTTAAAACCCAGTAATACTTTGCCCGATCTGGGAAACGAACCCGAGATCCCTTGCCCGGCAGTCGCACTTGCGACCACGAGGCAGTCGAGCAGAATATGAAACATAATAATTAATATAATGACCTGTTGCAATAATGAGTTACACCTGGACAGCTGATGGGATACTTCGTGTACGCGGGCCAGACGCTCAGCGTGGCGAGCGTTAGCTCTCTGCTTATCCACCATTTGAGAGTACAAGCGTGATATTTCTTGGTCAGCCTGTAAGATAGGAAAGGAAATTTGTTATTAGTAATGTTTTAATTATTGGCAGTTATTACATAACATAACATAACATCACGCCTTTTAACCCCGAAGGGGTAGGCAGAGGTGCACATTATACCACTGTACAATGTAACACCCACTTTTCACTATTTATGTTATGATTCCCATGTAATAGGGGGTGAGCCTATTGGCAGTTATTATGGAGTTTATTATTATTTTATTTTTAAATGTGTCCCACACTAGGATTGTCTCCTGTGTCGTGTGTGCGTTTACAAACATACAAGTTCACATACACATGACACACAGAGCCGGGACAACAATTTGTGGATCACACAAAGAGTTGTTCCGTGCGGGAATCGAACCCGCGACACGTTGCACGGCAGCCAGTTGCCCAGCCACCGCACCAACCGTGCAGTGATCAGTCGTGCAGTTTCTTACTCAATTTTTTTTGTCTATCAAAGTCAAAGTCAAAATCATTTATTTCAATTAGACCAGGAAGGCACTTTTGAACGTCAACAAGAAATTAAAAGTGAAGCTATTTGCTCATTCCAATATGTAGATTCCTATGGAGAAGAACGAACATGAAACTCCATAGGTTACTCTTTTATTGTTTACATGTATTGTAAAGGGGTAGGCAGAGGTGCACATTACGGCACTTAATGCCACTGTACAATGTAACACCCACTTTTCACTATTTACGTTATGAGTCCCATGTAATAGGGGGCGAGCCTATTGCCATATACCGGGCACAATTCCAGACCCCGTGCTACTACTGAGAATTTATTTTTAAATATAAGGGCATATAGAATATCATCATCATCATCATCATCATCAGCCTGTATTCGTCCACTGCTGGACATAGGCCTCTCCTATGGCACGCCACTGAGCTCGGTCTTCAGCTCTTCTCATCCAACCACTGCCAGCCACCTTACAGATGTCGTCACTCCACCTAGCTGGAGGGCGCCCTACACTGCGTTTGCCTAGACGCGGTCTCCACTCTAGAACACGTTTACCCCAACGGTTATCGGTTCTTCGACAAATGTGACCGGCCCACTGCCACTTCAGCTTACTGATCCTTTGGGCTATGTCGATAACTTTGGTTCTCTGTCGGATCACTTCGTTTCGGATTCGATCCTTCAGAGAGACTCCGAGCATAGCCCTCTCCATAGCTCGCTGCGCGACCTTAAATTGGTGGACCAGTCGCACTGTCAGTGTCCACGTCTCGGCTCCGTATGTCATTACTGGAAGGACGCACTCGTTGAAGACTTTTGTCTTCAGGCTTTGCGGTATCTGAGACGAGAAGACTTGATTAAGTTTTCTATATGCTGCCCAGCCAAGCTGTATCCTTCTACGGGCCTCCTTTTCGAAGCTGTTCCTACCTAACTGCAGGGTTTGTCCCAGGTAGATGTATTCCTGAACGACTTCGAGAGGCGACCCGTTGAGAACAATTGTCTCCGGAATGACATGTTCATTGAACATTATTTTTGTTTTGTCCAAATTCATCCGGAGCCCAATGCGCGCGGAAGAATCAGCCAGGCTGCTCAGCATATATTGCAAGTCCTGAACGGTTTCAGCCACGATGACGATATCATCTGCAAATCTCAAGTGTGAGAGATACTTGCCGTTTATGTTTATGCCCCGTCCTTTCCAATGCAGTGTCTTGAACATATCCTCCATAGCATTTGTGAACAATTTGGGGGATATAACATCTCCTTGTCTCACTCCTCGATGCAGGTGAATAGGTTCAGACTGCTGATTTTGTACTTGGACGGCCATAGTCGCAGCTTCGTACAGTTCTCTCAGCACTTGGATATATCGCCAGTCGACTTGGCACCGTTGTAAGGACTCCAGAACAGACCAGATCTCGATAGAGTCAAAGGCCTTCTCATAGTCCACGAACGCCAAGCATAGAGGCCGATTATACTCCTCGGTCTTCTGTATCTGCCTCATCGTGTGAATGTGGTCCATGGTGCCATATCCTCCTCGAAACCCGGCCTGCTCGGGAGGCTGAAACTCATCAAGCCTTCGTGCGAGACGATTCGTGATGACCCTGGAAAACAGCTTATAGATGTGGCTCAAAAGAGAAATAGGACGATAGTTCTTCAAAAGGGTTTTATCTCCTTTTTTGAAGAACATAACGACAATGCTTCTGCTCCACACCCTAGGAGTTCTCCCCGTGAAGAGGACGGAATTAAATATACTTTGGAGCCGCTCGAGAATCGGTTTTCCCCCTGCCTTAAGGAGCTCCGTCGTAATTCCGTCCTCACCGGGGGCTTTTCCATTTTTAAGCTGCCCCAAAGCCACCACGATTTCGTCTTGGCTGACCTCTGGCAGCTCTTCAGTGAAGTGGCGGACAAGTGTGGCCCTGGGATCCCCCGAGTATGATTGAGGTTGGGGTGCTTGTGACGCATATAGATCACCGTAGAAGCGCTGAACTTCCGCAAGAATCTCCGGCCCAGAAGCGACGACTTTTCCCTCAGATGTAGTCAGCTTCGACCTAGTTGCTGGATGAAAACTTTTGACCCCCGATTTCGCTCGATCGCTTCTTTTATAGCGCGTGTGTTGGAGCACCGAAGGTCACGTCTTACCTGCTTCGAGATCTTTCTATTAAGATCCGACGAAGCGACTGCTGGGTTTTCACGTCGCCTCCTCATCAGCTGCAGAGACTCCCCCGAAAGCCTCGCCCTCCTGCCGGTATTTTGCGCCCGCCACATTTTCGTCCCCTCATCTCGGAGTATCCCGACCATTTGGTCGAGTTTTTGGTCAATATCAGCGTCTATTGTGGTTTCCAAGACAGCGAATCGATTTTCCAGTTTTAGCTGGAAGCTTTCGGACCCGACAACAGTTTGGAGCAAATTAGGTCGGAGCGTAGACTTCATAAGACGGGCACGCTCGAATTTGTGTTTGATGTTTAGAGTGCCTCGTACCAGTCGGTGATCACTTCCTGTGTTGAACCTATTGATCACAGAGACATCTCTAAATATTCGCTTTTTGTCCGTCATAATGAAGTCTATCATTTTAGTCATAGTGTCGGGGCTCCGCCACGTCCACTTCCGTTGAGGTTGCTTCTTAAAGAAGGAGTTCATCAAGAATAGCCCTCCTTCTCCAGGAAGTTGACGAGCATTTGCCCCCTATGATTTCTGCTACCAAGCCCGTGTGGTCCTATTACCGATTCGCCGCTAATATTACTCCCACTTTTGCGTTAAAATCCCCCATGACAACGTTGAAGTGGGCCTTTTGGGTGGTATGCAAGGCCCTAGAAATGTCCTCGTACATTTCCTCTACTTCGTCGTCCGAATATGTCGAGGTAGGGGCGTACACTTGGATGACTTTTAGGTTATACCTCTTAGTAAGTTTAATCACAAGGTACGCTACCCTAGTCGACACGCTGGAGATCTCCAAGACGCTGTTTGAGAGGGATTTGTGGACCATAAACCCACGCCGCCTTGAGATGGTTGGTCCCCTTCCCTAAAAATACATGAGATGGCCAGACTTCAAGGTCACTGTGTCCTCCCCCTGTCTTCGGACTTCAGACAGCCCCAGAATATGCCACCTCATGTTACCCAGTTCCACTTCGAGCTGAGCCAGGTGTTCTTCGAGCCGTAGCGTGCGTCCGTTGTACGTAGCCAGGGTCAGTTGGTGTTGTCGGCCTTTCGTAGCCCGGGGATTCTTAGCACCCCCTGTCCCGCCGTTACCATGGCCGCCGACTTGGCCAGGAATAGCGGGGCGACCGGGAACTAGGGGCCGTTTTTTGAGGTGCCGTGCCATATAAGGTAATGCCCATAATCACCACGCTGGGCAGGCGGGTTGGTGATCGCAGGGCGTAGCTCCTCGCACTAGTGACGCTGCTCCCCGTCACTAGTCTGAAATTTTGCTACGCCTATTTAGAATGGTTATTCCGCCATGTGTCGGTCGCCAGAGCCTCGTCCGTTAGTCAGCAGGATGTACCACGAGCAGGTGAGGTTGGCTGGGGCACTGAGATGGTGTTGTGCCCCTTACACCCTTATATAGAATATAAATAAAGGTATTATTATAATTTTCGTGGGACATACTAAATAAATTATTATGTTTTTGTTACTCACGTAATTATTTGACAAGGAACTCGACTAGTTTCAGGCCATGCTAGAGGCTTATATTAATGACCTAGACTTTCAGATTACAGACTTCCTTCTAGACTATAATTTTGCGGGTCTGGAGTGTGACACAGTGAGCGCGGTATGTAAAACTGTTGTTGCGTCGACCCGGGATTCGAACCCAGCAACAACGCAGCTGCCGGCGGGCGAGTATAGCGAGCCAGCAGCTTTTTTTTATATATTTGATGGGGCCACGTTTGACCACTATCTCACCTGATGGTGCACGGTGATGCGGTCTACGATGGAGCACGTCGTCCCATAAGCAACCTATTCACTTGGGCCTTGAAGACTACCAGGTTATACCCTTCAGGAAATACAGACTCTGGCAAAGAATTCCACTCCTTAGCAGTACGCACAAGGAAGCTTGATGCGGAGCGCTTCGTGCGTGTGGGTGGGACATCTACCATGAATCGGTGACGCATCGCCGATTGTCTTGTGGTACGATGATGGAAAGGACTAGGGGGAATCAAGTTGTGCAATTCTCCCGCACACTCCCCGAAATGTATCCGGTAGAAAACCGAAAGGCTGTAGCCAAATGCCATTCAGCGCTTGTCTACATGTAGAATAGAAAACCAAATTATATGGGATTGACGTAAATTGTGACACTTGTCAGTGTCATCCCCATACATTTAGTTTTCTACTCTCTCTGTAGACAAGCGGTAAACTGGCGTTTGGCTAAAGGCACTGCAGTGTCGCGCCGTCGATACACACATACAGTGTGCGGGGGGACCCGACAGAGGGCGCTGGACACACTGGGCTGTCCGCATCGCGTCGCGGGATATTTATTTATTTATTTATTTCACACTTTATTGTACACCATAAAAACATACATAAAAAAAAAAACAAACATAAAAGAATGTGCACAATGGGCGGTCTTATCGCAGAATGCGATTTCTTCCAGACAACCTTTGGATGGAGCCAGTATTCAGGAGTTGGAAAAAGGGGGTCGTCTAGTGTACAATAATTAAAACAATACATACAATATAATACTATCTATACCTACCAAATAAATAATATATAAAATTAAAATAGATATAACTACTATACATAAGTGAGTGTGTGTGTAGATGTGTCTGTGTGTGCACGCGCGCGTGTGTGAGTGTGTGTGGTGTGTGTGTGTGTGTGTGTGTGTGTTTATGTGTTTCCATGCTAGGTAGGAATTTTTAAAAACAATGACTAAAGAGAGAGGTAATGTTCTTTAACTAGATTTTTAAACTGAGGTAGAGTTTGAGCACGCCTCACCTTAATCGGCAAGGCATTCCACAACCGAGCCGCTTTAATAGTGAAGGAATTACCAAAAAAGGAAGTGGAGTGCAAACTAATATTTAAATTAAGATTGTCTGATGATCTCAATAACCTTGTATGTGTGTCACTAAGGAACTGAAAACGTTCTTTTAGATAACAAGGGGCAGCAGGATTGAAGAGTATATTGTAAAGTAATGAGAGAATATGAGCATTCCGGCGAAGTCGAATAGGTAGCCATTTGAGTTTTTTTCGAAAATCTGAAACGTGATCATATTTGCGCAGTCCAAATATAAACCTGATTGATAGATTTTGAAGACGCTCAAGCTTATCTAATTGTTCCTGGGTGAGATCGAGATCGGGATACTACTCATGGACATGAGCCTCAAGCGTGGGTTGGAACTACTCGAATTCTGAGTCAAATTATTACGTGAGCCAACCGAAAACACAATAATTTATAAATAATAGTAAAAACCTTGGTAAAAATACATTATAGGTTTTATCGAATATATGTATTTTTTAAAACGTTACCCCACATTATTTTTAGAATTTTCTCCTGTATTACAAACATACAAATTCACATACACATGACACCCAGACCCGGAACTACAATTTGTGGATCACACAAAGAGTTGTTCCGTGCGGGAATCGAACCCGCGACATGTTGCACGGCAGCCGGTTGCCCAGCCACCGCACCAACCGTGGAGTCATCGTTGCCCCACATTAGGATTATCTCCTGTGTCGTGGGTGCGTTTACAAACATACAAGTTCACATACACATGACACCCAGACCTGAAACAACAATTTGTGAATCACACAAAGAGTTAACTAAAAATCGCGGGTTACTCGCGTGAATATACTGAGAAAAGCTCTACTAGTTTCGAACTACACAGGGGATTCACGTGAGTAACCCGCGATTTTAGTTAATTTAGTATGTCTTACGATAATTATTATAAAAACACACAAAGAGTTAGTCCGTGCGGGTATCGAACCCGCGACACGTTGCCTGACCACCACGCCAACCGTGCAGTCGATATTCCACGTGATAAAGTCATATTTTGAAAGGAAATACCTCTTTGATTTTCCCCGCCAGGCCGCCTTCGATGGTGGCGAGGGGATGCGCGCAGGCCGCGAGGTGGGCCTGCAGTCGGCTCGTCACGCGGACCCACGGCCTGTAGTCTAGGCCTGGGCACAGATATAGATGTTAGTCAAAATCAAAATCATTTATCCTTACTATTATAAATGGGAAAGTGAGAATAGAATAGAATAGAATAGATCATAGAATAGAACAGATCATTTATTTGCTATGAATGTAGGTACAAATTATTAGGTGTTACAAAATTTTAAGGTTCCTTGTACATTCTACCTTAATTGGCATGCAAATCATCATCATCAACAGCCTATAAATGCCCACTGCTGAGCAAAGCCTCTTCTCACACGGAGAAGGTTAGAGCATTAATCACCACGCTTGCTCAATGCGGGTTGGCGATTTCAAACTTATAATTAGAAATTATAAGTCCAGGTTTCCTCACGATGTTTTTCCTTCACCGTTTGTCAGTGGTGTCTAAATAATCTTAGAAAGTACATATAACTCGGGAAAAGTCACATTGGTACTTGCCGTTGGTAGGTTTCGAACCTGCACCCTCATGCATGCATGAGGGTGCAGGTTCGAAACCGAAAGGTTCGAAACACTTCTCATGAGAAGTGGGCGTCTTAAACCTCCGGGCCACCACGACGCATGCAAATATACATTTGAAAAGAATTTATCAAAACTTATCATCCAAGAACTCTTGTACTGAATAATAACACTTGTGCAGAAGTAATTCTGTGACATACTTCTTAAATTTAGTTAGTGATTGTTCCTTGATATTATTCGGTAACTTATTATAAACTTATTATAAATGAGATTGTTTGTTTGTTTGTTCGTTCCGTTTTAACGCCGTAACTACTAAACCGATTGCTTTGAATTTTTGCAGACATTAAGTTAGAAGTCCGGATTAAATAATAGGGTACCTACTTTTTATTCCGTAAAAATTTGATATTCCCGAGGGAAAACAAAAGTATTGGTATAGATGGCGCTGTGTGTATTGGTATATGTCACATAGGCTACTTTTATCCTTTTGTGACGCGAGCGAAGCCGCGGGTAAAAGCTAGTTTCAATTAAACCAGAAAGGCACTTTTGAACGTCAACAATAAAATTAGAAGTGAAGCTATTTGCTCATTCCAAGGTGTAGATTCCTATGGAGAAGAACGAGCAAGAAACTCCATAGGTTACTCTTTTTCAATCAATTTCACAATACAATTCTCTAGTTACATAGTTTGCTGTTATACTATTGATACCAATTATATACAGTCTATAGGGAAGGAAAACGTCGTGAGGAAACCTGGGCTAATAATTTCTAATTATAAGTTTGAAATTATTAATACTCAAACCTTCTCCGTGTGAGAAGAGGCTTTGCTCAGCAGTGGGCATTTACAGGCTGTTGATGATGGTAACACAACCAAGTGTGCTTATGGATAGTTTTACCTTCTAACACCTCTGGGTCTCTGGCACCCGGTAGGCCCAGGGTACCTCTCATGATGGGTAGGAACGTTGGTATCTCCTGAAACAGTATAAAATTACATATTTTATTATGACATAGCTCGGCAAGTGTGGGAGAGCCATACTTCGGCACTGCTGGGCCGGCTCGACCGGAGTGATACCACGGCCTCACAGCAAAACCGACGTGAAGCGTGTTTCGTCGTGTGAAGTTACTCTGGGGGCCCAATTACCCCCCGGGGGACACGGGGGGGGGGGCGTGTCCCCAGTCTCCCCAATCCCCAAATCCCCCCACAATCCCAAATTCCCAATTTCCAAAAGGTCGCTAACGCACTTGTAACGCCGTTGGTGTTTCGGGTGTTCATGGGCGACGCCGATGCTTACCATCAGGTGATCCGTCTGCTCGTTTACCGGCTTATCCCATAAAAAAATATATACTTTACTAGCTACTTCCGGGCGGTTTCACTCACTCTGCTCGTCGCCTATTAATCGTAGCGTGATATTTTATAGCCTATAGCCTTCCTCGATAAATGGGCTATCCAACACAGAAAGAATTTTTCTAATCGGACCAGTAGTTTCGGAGATTAGCGCGTTCAAACAAACAAACAAAGAAACAAAGTCTTCAGCTTAATAATCTTTATATATATAATTCTTATGTGAGTGTGTATGTCACTGAACTTCTCTCAAACGACTGGACCGATTTTGATGAAATTTTTTGTGTGTGTTCAAGGGGATCTGGGAATGGTTTAGATTCACAAATCAGCCCGGCAGATGGCGCTGCAGTTAGTGTCTAGGTTAGTTACCCTAAACGGCTGAACTAATTTGAATGAATTTGTAGAGGATATTCAGGACAACGTCTGTCGGGTCCGCTAGTATTAGTATAGATTAGTATACCTGTAGTAGAAAGTACCTGACATGTAGAAAGGATGGATGAAAGTAGAGTAACGAAAGAAGTATATAGAACGGATATGATTGGGACCGTCGGTAGAGGGCGCCCTAGACGGACATATAGTAACCAGATTGGCGATATATTAAAGAAGGGCCAAATTAAAAGTACCCTTAACCGACGAGCATGCATGAAAATATTTATGACTGTTAATGAAGCGAAAGAGGTATGTAAGAATCGTAGTAATTGGCGTTCCTTAGTCTCTGCCTACCCCCATGGGAGACAGGCGTGAAGTTATGTATGTGTGTATGTATTAGTATACCTGTAATCTCTGAATGTCTTCATCGAGCTGGACATCAGTGGCTTGTTTGACTACTACGATATCTCTCGCGCGCTTGTTCTTCCGCGCTTGTAGGCTCAGCTGGCGACGCTGTAGCATCGACTTCTTGTTGTCAGCACTGCGCTGGGTCTTCGCTGAGGCTTTGGGTGAATCTGGAAATATTTTATTTATTTATTTATATATGCTTTATTGTACACATTTAAGTAGCTTAAAACAAATAATGGAGTAGACGACTAATTTTTATTTTAATGTCCGTCTGATAGATTATTTAAAAACATTACACACGTATTTTTTATTTTCTCACAGAAACGAATAGTTTCGAAGATATATTGATTTGAAATGTCGCGTGACGTCACTTCTCAGTACATTTTATACTAAGGAATGACGTTTTAGCCCCCACTCCTAAACTTTGATTCGTTATATCTAAGTATTGTTTATTTATACGACAAAATAAAAAAAATACGTGTCTAATATTTTTTCATTACCTAACTTACGGACTAATTATATTTTTAATTTTCATACCCTGACATCATCCCCATTCAAGTAAATATGCGTACAATGAGCGGTCTTATCACACAATGGTGATTTCTTCCAGACAACCTTTGGATGGAAATATTTATAAGAAACCAGATATGGGGTAGTTAAGTGTACAATAAAAAATGACAAAATAAAAATACCTACAATACAACTTACAATAGATATAATATACTAGCAATATATAAAAAAGAAATACATAAATAATATATAAAAAAAAATAAGCTATGTGTGAGTGAGTGTGTGTATGTTTGTGTGTGTTTCTGTATGTGTGTGTGTGTGTGAAATAGGCCCAGGTGTATTACATTATGCTAGGTAAGGAGGCGGGGCGCGTGAGGGAACGAACCTCCTCACGCCCCAGTCGCGAGAGACACTCCGGGCGTCGATGATCGCGGGACGATCTCCGGCCACCGTAAGCGCGGGCCTGCGGACGGCGAGCATGGGTGACTCGCCGCCCGACCAGAAACAGACCCGAGCGTTCTAAGCGCGCCTCAGGGAGCCATCAGACCACCACAGATGGGGCCCAACAGGGCTGATGCCGATACGGAGCCGCGAAAGACTTAACGGGTTACCGGGGCTCTGGCTCGAAGTGCAGGAGTAGGAACGGGGTGGTTTTTAGTCAGTAGTCTTTCACTCTCTCTCACCCTGACCCAGGCGGGAGAAGCGATTTGATGATTTACCCCCCTCAAAAAAAGGGATATTACATTATACCGATCTATCTATTTTTATCTATTTTATCTATCTATTTACAGAAATTACATATGTGTTAACAGTTTTTGTATAAATGATTGTGACTTTACAGGCATCGCATTTCTGGCCCCTTTGGTGTTTGGGGTATCCACGGGCGGCGCTGATTGCTTACAAAACCCTCTATCCTTTAATTTCAAAGGAATGTTTGTCTTTTAGTACTTTAATTGGGTTGTTACCTAGTTACTTTATACAAAATTATATGTTTTCTTTAATGATTTTAGTACGTTAAAATACCTGCCACGTTCGTACCTGCCGGATAAGGGGTCTCGGGTTCGATTCCCGGGTCGGGCAAAGTTTTTCTGTCACTTCAAGTATAATAGTAAGTATAAATTAATTTAACTACCTCCAATAGGTCGATCCACTGTATATGATATGTATGGAAGCTCGGAGTCTGAGCATATACTGGTGCCCGGAGAGTTGTTCCCACTGGCTGGTAACTCATTGCTTCTTGAAGGATCTGGAAACAATGGGAATTGTTATAAGAAAGAAAGAAAGAAAAATATTTTATTCGCCACCAGACGTGGACCACCATTAACACATTAAATAAACATTGAAAAACAAAAATAAAAATGAAAACAATATAAGAACATAAAATACCAAAAAAAAAAAGCAGTAAAAAACATTATTAAAAAGCAAAATAAAAGAAACAGGGTGGCAGCATGTCCACGACGAAAGGGCTCGCCAACTCAATGCAAGCTAAATTAAGTACTAGTAATTAAGTACGCGACGTCGTCGCCGCGACCGCGCACGCTGCTCATGAAGAATCCCTCTGTGGTTCGAAATTAGTAGAGCTTTTCTCAGTATATTCACGTGAGTAACCCGCGTTTTTACTTAATTTAGAATGTCTCACGATAGTTATTATAAAATCAATGTAAACTGGGCACAATAAGTACCCAACACTGGTTTTCAGTTGGCACCCCTGCAGTGACGCACGGACGGAAGCACCGAAAAATTATTTAAAGGAAAATAATAGAAATACATAAACCACATGTTAAAAAAAATAAATAAAAATAACAATAAAAGAAAAGGAATAAAAATTTAAACACAGACCTCTATTTATGCACATTGTGCGATAAATAAATAAAAAATAAGTATACATACATAAACAAGTGCTATGTGTACCGTCACTGAAGAAAAAAAAAATTATAAACTACATATATCACGACAATTAAAATAGTGTGGGTAGGCTGTCGTCGTGAAGCTATCGCGTAGCCCGACTCTCATTGCGAGAAGTTAAAGCGAGCAGATCGACACTTCGCCAGCACTGCCGCAAAAACAAAGGGCTCAAGGGTGAGTTTGTAAGATATCCTAAATATATATAACCACTCTTAACGTCCGGCCCGCGCGACAGTTTGTCTCTCTAACCGGCTAAATAGATAATCTGTCAAAACACACCAAACAATACCGTATTTAAAACTAGATGGCGTTAAACACAACTCGTGGCTTTGGATACTATAGTATCCGTGGGCGTATGACGCTACTTTTTTTTTTAACACCGGACTATCCATGGACGTCAGCGTGGATAAGAATGGACATTAATTAGACGTATTTAGTGTAAACGAAAATAAACCATTCATTTTTGATTATTGACTAGTCGAATGACTACTAGAATTCTTCGACTAGGTCACGATTCAAGACGACTTTGTTGCATGTGAACTTTATGAACAACAAGTCGACCGCTCGAAATAGTGACGGTAGCGACAGTCTAACTCTCGCCGTCGACATCGGTCATAAACAAGTCAATATTCATACAAAATTACCTAGGAATGTAACGCGAAATATAATTATGTAAAGGCAAGTCGAAATTAAGAGGTTTTCATCTGAAGTTCCCTGTTTTTTATTGGGAAAGGGGGCCCATCTGATGAAGTCGAATGCGACTATTTATTCATATTATAATAAAAAAAAGTTAATGCATACTATAATAATAAAAAAGTAAGAAAGAAACCCTTACCCATCCCCAATCTCCCCAATCCCTGAATCCCCAACAATCATCAAATCGTAATCACCATAATGCCGGTAACGGATGTCTATGGGATTGCTTACCATTGCTTACCATCAGGTGATCCATATGCTCATTTACCGGCTTATCTCATAAAAAAATTATAATATTTAAATTATGTTATAATTACCTGATATACTGGGTACAGCTATAGTATGCCCCCTCCTCACAGGTGGGGCTCTTTGGGTTTGCTTCTTTGGAGGCACCGAGGACTGCTCCGAGCCCATTGTGATGGTTTATTATGAAGATAGCTGTAACATTAATAAGTAGCAAGGTTTTGTTAACATTGTAATTTAGCTAAAATTCTACAGCTGCACATTATGCCACTATACAATCAGTACAATGTATCACCCATTTTTCACTATTTATGTTATGAGTCCCATGTAATAGGGGGTGAGTATATTGCCATATACCGGGCACATTTCCAGACTCCGTGCTACTACTGACCAGTGTTCCAATGCGATAAAAAGTGATCTGTATTATTCCAGATGACAATATTAATCCCTGTTCCAAATTTAATTACAAACAAATACATATAATAAACATCACGCCTTTTATCCCCAGCGGGGTAGGCAGAGGTGTACATTATGGCACTTAATGACACTGTACAATGTAACACCCACTTTTCACTTTTTATGTTATGAGTCCCATGTAATAGGGGGCGAGCCTATTGCCATATACCGGGCACATTTCCAGACTCCGTGCTACTGCTGAGATTTTTTTTTAAAAACGCAGTAATACTTTGCCCGACCCGGGAATCAAACCCGAGGACCCTTCACAATGATTCACAATTATAATATTATAGTAAAAGAAGCGAGATAGGATTGCAATTTTTAGTCAAACTTACTCTGCAATGTACCTAACTAAAGTTGTTTGAAAAGATATGAGTATCAAAAAGTTTATGCTCAATATTTTTGTTTACCGTTACTACGTCGACTAAATCAATAAATATATGAAGTACTAGAATTATCAAAGGAGTGTCCTGTATTTTTTTAATTTGGTAAAAAGCATTGTTTACTTACATGATTAGACAATTCGACCAATATTCTAATACACTAGGTATTATATTTTTTTCTTATTTATAAAAATGGAAATGGCATATTTGTTATAATGATAATATTTTAGCAAACATCGATAAAAATATGAGATCGAAAGTCGCGTATTTATTTATTTCGACAGGTTGACAGGTATAGTGTTGTGTAGAATCACACTAAACTAAACAAAAGTAGTATCGTTGTGTTCAATAATCGAATAATTTTGATAAATATTTACATTCACATATTCGTTATTTGCCGGAACTTTTTTATATACCTACATTTATTTTATTATTTGATACATTTGGTTTCGAGTCCAAATGACTAGAACCAAACATCAGTACATTACTTAATAAGGAGGAGAAAAGTGTACGCATTCATTATATTTTACCGGTTTAAGACTAGTATGTACCTATGTTTTGTAATTGCGAACTATTATCGCGTATTATAAACATAAGCGAAGGTTATAATATAGAAAATATTGTTTTAGTAATGTTTTTTAGGCGATTTTCAGTCCGCTGTGTAACATCACTACTCCACGTCATTTCGATAATGTCATATTGACGTTTAACTTCGGCCAGTGACAGCCCGAGGTACACACGTTTGCAGTATTTTGTAAATTACACAAAAAATACTCTCGTAACTTTCCAATTAGATTTAGAATGAAATAGTATAATTAAACAATAACAATGGTAGATGAAGGTACTAGAAAAACTTTAAGCAGCATACCTTTGCTTCAAACTAAAGCTGGCCCCAGAGACAAGGAATTATGGACTACTAGGCTGAAAGAGGAATATCAGGCTTTGATCAAGGTGAGAAGAAAAAATTAAAAAAGTTTTATAATTCTGTAGAAACGACGACCTTATTTTGTGTGTTGAGGGTTGATTTTTGTTAGTATTCGTGCATGTAATCAGAATTTTTGAGGTGTTGTCTCAGACCCAGCTGTGGGAATTTAATTTATTCTGTTCATAAGTCATCATCATCATAATGAATCTAGTAATATTAGATGTGATCAAGGTGTGATAAGTTAATAATAAAAACACATTTTTTCTGTTTAAAATATAAAAGTTTATAATACTTGCCTACTTACATTAGCAAAAAAGGTCATGAACGAATTTTTTATTTTTATTAAGTAGTTCAATATTTCACTCATTTTCGTAAATTGCGTAACGATAGTAGTGGATTATCTAACACAAATTGACTTTCTATTCATTAAATAATAGTATTACAGAATACAAGCTAGCAATAGCTTGATTATTATCTAATTACTTTTTGCAACACTTAGTAAGTTGACTATTATGTATGATTTAAAATAAAACCACTAATTAGGAGCATCATGGATACTACAACCAATTTCACAACAGCTAGATTGAGTTTTTGATCACCATCAAAATATAGGCCTAGCTTTTATAAACGAAGCTACATATCATACAGCCTGGCTATGCACAGTTGTTATAGCTGCGCAAGAGACCTTCCTAAGGATCTGGGCCCTTCTTAACCCTTTTGACCGCTGCGGTCAGCTATAGCCAACTAACTAAATGTACTTAAAAATCGTGGTTTCTTGTCAGCTGTGGCCGATTGTGACGGATCACATATACGGTCATATTTTGCTTGTAGGGTATAGCCGATCAAAAGGTTAAGGTTTCCACTACCTAATTCCGGAAAAGTTAGCAATGCATTTGTAACTCCTCTAGTGTTACGGGTGTCTACATGCGGTGCTCCTTGCTTACCATCAGGTGATCCGTATGCTCGTTTGTTGCCCTACCTCATAAAAATAATTATTAATACATTATTTGTTATATTTCCAGTATGTTCAAAATAACAAGGCAGCTGACAATGACTGGTTCAGGTTGGAATCGGATAAAACTGGTACGAAGTGGTTCGGCAAGTGTTGGTACGTTCACAACCTGCTGAAGTATGAGTTTGATTTAGAGTTTGACGTAAGTTGGTTTCATTTTTATTTTAACCCGTATATCCCCAAGCGGTCACTGGTGTCCGCTGTCCACTAACTACATTATAGACCTTATTTCCAATGTTTAGAGACTACTTTTGTATGAACAAAATTAAGGGAATATTTTTAAAAAAATTCAATGTGTTAATTTATAAAATACTAGCTTTTACCCGCGGCTTCGCTCGCGTCACAAAAGGATAAAAAGTAGCCTATGTGACTATCCATCCGTTCAACTACCTTCAGTTAAAAAAGCACGTTAATTAGTACCTCCGTTCTGCCGTTTAAGACAGGCAAACAAACAAATAGCTTTCCGCTCGCGTGGAATTCGGTTATATCGCGCTATTTAGATTTTTCCAATAAGTAGGTAATTCGTTGACTGGTTTTAAATGACATACAACGCCATCTATACCAGTATATACAGCGCCATCTATACCAATATTTTTGTTTTTCCTAGGAAATATCATTTTTTTCCGGGATAAAAAGTACCCTATTATTTAATCCGGACTTCTAACTTTACTTCTTCAAAAATTTAAAACAATCGGTTAAGTAGTTACGGCATGAAAGCGGAACAAACAAACAAAGAAACAAACTCACTTTCCGATTTATAATATTATATATAATATATATATATATATATATAATATATATATTAGTAAGGATTTCTTCTCAATTCCAGATTCCAATAACATACCCAACGACAGCACCGGAGTTGGCTCTGCCTGGGTTGGATGGCAAAACAGCTAAAATGTACCGAGGAGGCAAGATATGCTTGACGGACCATTTCAAGCCGCTGTGGGCACGGAATGTGCCCAGGTTTGGGATAGCACATGCCATGGCTTTGGGGGTAAGTCATAATAGGGTAGTTTCCTAAATTTTATTTTAATATCCGTCTGGTACATTAATTTAAAACTTTAGACACGTATTCTTTCTTTTTTCACAAAATTATATACTTTCGACGATATATTAATTTAAAATGTGTGACGTCACAGCGTGCCGCATTTTGTAGCACGTTATGACGTAACGACCTCCTACTCCTAAACTTAGCGCGATTTTATCTAAGTATTGCAACTTAATACAAGAAAAGGAAAAAATACGTGTCTAGCATTTTATCTTTTTTTTTTTTAACGTTGACCCACACTGGGATTTTCTCCTGTGTTGTGGGTGCGTTTACAAACATACAAGTTCACATACACAATGACACCCAGACCCGAAACAACAATTTGTGGATCACACAAAGTGTTGTTCCGTGCGGGAATCGAACCCGCGACACGTTGCATGGCAGCCGGTTGCCCAGCCACCGCACCAACCGTGCAGTCAAATCAAAGTTATCTAACAGCTAACTGACGGACTAATTAGATTTTTAATTTTGATACCCTGGAAACTACCCAATTAAACGCCAGAATTCTGATATGCTACTCCATTTTAAGTGTTTGCTTAAATATCGTGCTATATTTATAATTATAATTTTATAAAGAACCAGCTGAGGCCGCGACTTCGTATGCGCAATCCCGTTTTCTCCCGTTCCCGTAGGATTTTCAGAATTTTTTCTTTAATAAAAACCTTCTGACAATAACAAGGTCAGCTAAATCGGTCTAGCCGTTCTCTAGTTATGGCGTGACAACAGGTTTAATTTTTATATATTTTATATAAAGAACTAGCTAAGCCCTCGACTTCGTACGCGGGACATAGTGATTCGCTGCTCGTCCTCATTACTTGATAGCATGATAATATGTAGCCTATATATGATATTCATGCAAAATTTGAAGGAAATTGGCATTTATAGGCTATGGATGATGATGAAGATATATTTATTGCTATCTATTGATACCATGACTGAGTAAGGGTGGTAGAATCCTAATCTTCCCCCACCCATCCCCAAGTCCTCAAAAGACAGACAACGCATTAGTAACTATTCTAGTGTTGCGGGTGTCCATGGGCGGTGCCGATTGCTTACCATCAGGTGATCCGTATGCTTATTTGTTCCCATCCGTATAACACGCAGAACTTTAGATCATAAGTTGTTGGTGACGGTAAAGTAAAATACATTTCTCACCTTTTTTATGAAACTCTATAAACGAGCAGACGGATCACCTGTTGGTAAGCAATCGGCGTCGTCCATGGACACCTGGAACACTAGACGCGTTACGAGTGTGTTACCAGCCTTTTGGGGATTAGGAATTTGAAGATTGTTGGGGATTCGGGGATTGAGGAATTGGGGAGGAGAGTGATTGGGCCTTCGGTA